GCAAGAATTAGTGGTGCAGACAGGTAAGTATCGGTTTCACAAGAAAAAAAAAAGTGCAAATGTTTTATTTTATTGTAATATTCGTATTGGATGAACAGTACATACATTTTGATGTTTGTGTGGTTAATATTTGAGCTCATTTAATAACTTTGTGTAAAGTGTAATGGTGATGACAAAAGTGTAATAACCCAGGGCAAACAATTTGATATCAATTTACTGCATTCACAACAGAATTAACAGAATTCCTGACTGCTGGCCGTAGATTAAGACTCTTTGGGCTTGTTAAAAGTGCATTTAGCAATCCCTAAAATAAGCCTGAATTTTGTAATGTCATGTTTTATGTTATGCTATATATATCCATCCTACTTAGGACAATAGTTAGATATTTAACTATTGCATGTATATGAAAGGCAATCAAATAAAGAAAAATATATTCTTTAAAAAAAAAACTATTGCATTTATAAATTTTCCAGTTTTTTTTTAATGGCTCATGAGTGAATTGTTGCCAAAATGTTTTCTCTTTTGATTGAATTTATCCTGTTTAGTAAGTATTTACAACAAACTCGGAAACACAGTGTTCAGCGTCATTTTACTGGTGTAAGTAAGTGACGCAGTCATTAACCTACTTGCACTCTAGTGTCACTTTAGATGAGAACATCCAGTTTTACAAACAGAAGGCTGGAGTTAAGGGTTTTCACTTTGAGCTGCAATGTAAAATATTGTAGGACATTCTGTGAGCAGAGCAAGCCTTTCCCTGAGGAATCGTCTGTTTAGAGCAGGAAGGAACATTAGTCACAGGAGAAGAAGAAACGATCCTGCAGTATCAGAATCAGGACAGTTACACCCTCATGAAATTAGAGCAGCCTTAAAAAACGTAACATGTAAGAAGCCTAGTGTGTGCAGTCCTCTTTCTTCTGACAAATAGCACATCTTGGAGTATAATTTGCTTTACCTTTCCTGTAAATTGTATGCCCAACCAAAACGGTTTTATTATTTGTGGATAGAGGTGGGGGGATATTCACCCTGACAAACCATTGTCTCTGGTACAGGAAATTTTGGGAAAACCATTTTTTTTTTTTTTTTTACTTAGCATAAAAAAAATTAGATGAGTGGAATTCTTCCAATACCTAAACCTGTAATGGTGTCCATTTTCTAAGAGTGGATATCCCTTCAATTTGCAGAGATCGCCTCTTATTGCCTTCTCTGTATCTGGGACAGGAAGGGAAGAGAGTCTGCCTAATGGGACATATAAAAAAAAAAGACTTAACAAGTCTTAATCCTTTCTTATGCTATATGATCTGGTTATCCTTTGTCCCGGGACTAAAAGTGAAGGAAAGTTTAAACTTTTAAATTACCACCAAAACCGGAGGCAATCTTGTGGGTGATATATGTGTTACGGTGACAACTGCATAAGAGGGATTTTATTCACTTTGTAGAAATGTTCCCTCATTTTCTTGGGGGGGGGGGGGGGGGGGGGGGTGTGGGACTCCCTGCAGGGAGCCGTGATTCAAGCAAAAAAAACTTAACCAGGTTTATGACCTCTCACAACTCTATCCAACTCTATCAGAATGCTGAGATCATCTATCTTTTAGTAACTGAACTGAAACCCTTTTATTTTTAGGAAAGTCAGGGTAAAGTCCTAATTGCTCATCCTGGGTTAGTGACCCAAAGTATTAAAGTGGATTAACATGAAAACCAGACAGCTTTTGAAGTTGGTAACATGAAAACCAGTCAAAGTCTGCCCTCCTTACCATCTTGCCTTGAATTGTATGGTAATTGTAATGTCTTCCTTATATTGTAAAGTGCTGTGTCAACTGTTGGCACTGTATAATATTAATTTGTAAAATTAGGATTCACAAATGGCAGTCTGTTACAAAAGCAGCCTTTGGGATCTTAATGAGGAGAACTGGACAGAGGTTTTGTAGATGCCCTTCCAACAACTGGTGTCTGTGAGAGACATACCAATACAATTCAAACTCCTCCAAAAAGTGTGCTTTATTCCAACTAACTTTAAAATCCAAACCCCACCATTTAATCTACTTACCGTTGATGTGGACAGGTTGACAGCAATCTCTTCCAAATTTTCTTGATTATCTGTAAAGTTGTAACTTTCTTTCAGAACATGACTTATTGCGAATGACCATAACAAGCATGAACTTAGTTGTTTCCTAAAGTGTATGTCCTGGGATTGGTGGAGGACCTGGCCCCACCACCTTTCCCTCTGAAAAATGTTGGTAAATTCCAACTTCTCACTCTACCTGGACACTTAAACAGGAGCTTTGCTCACACATTCTCTAGCGCACGGCTCAAAATTTCTGCTCGCATTTGGCGAGTAAAAATAAAGTGAGGGCGAATGGAAATTTGGGTCTCCAAGTACCGGTTCGCAGGCCAACTCCGGCCTGCGAGCTGGTACTATGTGACCTGCAGCCAGCTGACATGTCAAGCACACGGTCGCAGACCGCGTACCTGACTTGCGGGAGCTGCTCCACGGGCTGCATCTGTGTCGCATGCAGACCGCAGAGCAGCTCCTGTCAGCTCCGGCTTCCTTCGGCCGCAGCTCTGACATTTCTGAGCTCCGGCCGAAAGAAATGGAGGATCGATCCCTGGCTATCTGGGGGTGATCAGTGAGGTCTGCTGCAGACCTCACTAATCACCCTCAGATAACCAGGGATCGATCCTGCTCACAGCCTCCTCCCTGCAAAGACGTGAACAGGTGAGGGGGGTTGAGTGTATTATTATTTTGTGTGGGGGCGTTAATAAGGGGGAGCGTATTATTTTATGTGTGTGTGGGGGTTAATAAGGGGGAGTGTAATATTTTGTGTGTGGGGGGGGTGTTAATAAGGGGGGGAGTGTATTATTTTATGTGTGTGTGTGGAGGGGGGTTAATAAGGGGGGAGTATATTATGTTATGTGTGGGGGGACTTATAACGGGGGAGTGTGTTATTTTTTGTGTGTGGGGGGAATTTTATTAATTATATTATACTTTCGTTGTGTGATGGTTGTAAGGTCATTAAAATCTCCTACCATCTGCCCATCTTGGACAGGCAGATCGTACTTGCGATCATCGCAAGCCCTCCCTGCTGAGTGGAGGGCTTCCGATGATTGCAGAGCTAAACGGGCAGTGTGCGCTTGCGCACATCAGCCCGTGCGGCATTCGTCTTCCGACCACGCCACCAACCCGCCAACCGTTTCGGCAGGTTTTCCAGCGTGCATGGAAGACGAAAGTCATACAACCTTACAGTAGAAGCGGTCGCACGCTGCCCATACACCCGCGATTATCGTAGGATCGCGGGATCACCCGTGATTATTGTACGATAGTATACACATACCTTTAGTGTATGTGTATATTAGGCCCCATTCACACCTACTCTATATTTCAGGTGTGATTAGAGATTCCTGTGTCAGGAACTTGCGTTTTCCTGTAGCAGGAATCCCTAATCTGCCGTTTACAAGCGGCAACTATCATAAAATAAGAATTATCAAAAGATTATTTAAGAGGGTGTGTTTAGGGGCGGAGTTAAGGCCAGGGTAGGGGTTAGGTGGGGCAACTGGTGGCTAGTAACTCTTGATGCCTGGCTAGTAGTTAAGGACTAAATTTTGAGCCCTGCTCTAACGTATGGACATCATAGCCGCTTAATCCCTTTACAGCTGTGAGCTTCAGTCGCTCGCAACTCAAAAATGTGAACTATCCTATCCTGTTTCCAGTGTTCCTCCACCAAGTACATTTCTCACCATAGAAGATGACACTTAGCTTCCTATGGACTCATTTGAGTCCCTGCCATGTACCACCATACAGTTCCCCAATTTCAATTCCTCACACTCCATGCATTGGGTACCCATAGGGATGAGGAATGGAGAGACTGTTGTTTCATTATATATGTTATACCTACAAAACAACCTGACCGAATGAGGCCCCTTGGAGTAGTGTACTATTATTATTATCATTATTATTATTATTATTGTAAATCATTTAAAAAGATTTATTTTAAAAATGTCAGTCTTTATTTTTCGCTTAGAAAAGGTCTTGTTTAAGGATTAGATTTGAAGGTAGATTCAAATGAAAGGTTATATTTACAACATTATTAAAGGTTAGGTTCGCTATTTCAACTCCTTCGATGAGCTAGTGGGCTGTGTGCCATGGCAAGTTCATTTTTTTTCCATCTTGCTATAGATGCGGCTCACTGGAAGATTAAAGAGCAGTCGGTATACACTGTTGCATTTGCACCTTCTCATCCCCCAATCCCATTTAATGAGGTCATACAGGTGAAACTCGAATAATTAGAATACCGTGCAAAAGTTCATTTATTTCACTAATGCAACTTAAAAGGTGAAACTAATATATGAGATAGACTCATTACATGCAATGCAAGATATTTCAAGCCGTGATTTGTCATAATTGTGATCATTATGGCTTACAGCTCATGAAAACCCCAAATCCACAATCTCAGAAAATTAGAATATTACATGCAATCAATAAAACAAGGATTGTACATAGAACAATATCGGACCTCTGAAAAGTATAAGCATGCATATGTACTTGCTTTTGGGCCCCTTTTGCAGCAATTACTGCCTCAATGCGGCATGGCATGGAAGCTATCAGCCTGTGGCACTGCTGAGGTGTTATGGAAGACCAGGATGCTTCAATAGCGGCCTTCAGCTCTTCTGCATTGTTCGGTCTCATGTCTCTCATCTTTCTCTTGGCAATGCCCCAATGAACCACATTATCGCCACAACATGTAGCCATCGTCCCTTTGTTTTCAGGTTTTTGGCTGGAGGAGTCCAGTGCCCAGTCTTTCATAGATAAATGATTACAATGATAGTCTCATAATATATTTGATGAAAGAGGGGGGTGGATGAGGCGTAATCACTCATAAATGATTAGGGATGAAGCGTAAATTCTGTGCCGGTCTTTTCTTTTTGATATTTAAGTATTGATGGCATTTCAATATTGTAAGCAATGTAATTTAAGAAATCATCCTTTCTCTTTTGTGTCTGTACAGATGTGTAGAAGTCATCGCAAAGGAAGGCCGAAGCCTCAGAGAGCTTTATTTAGTAACCTGCAAGATCACAGATTACGGTATTTATCTTTCGCTCTTCTATTTGGTACTTGCTTCCACTTAGCACATTTATTTATGAGCTGTTTGAGAACATGCTCAACATAGTGTGAAATCTGCATGCTGGGCAATAAGTGCAGAATTTACTGTATATCACTACTTTCATGCGTGCATAAATTGTACAAGCTGACAAGGCACAGGCAATTAGGAAATTAGCAAGTTTAGTAATTGTTGACCTGTACACAATATCTGCAAACTAATAGTGTCATGGTATAATTACATTTCTCCTCGCCAGGAATTTATTGGACAAGTAATCCACGTTTATTTGTGTACTTTAGCTAAGCGGCATATTTTTCTTTGTACGCCAAGGTATAGTTGTCTTTTAGAAAATTAAAAAGTATGATGGAAAGACACAATTACCAAAGGTTTCAAAGCCAAAAGTTAATTTACATTTAGACACAGTGGGATAAATGTATCAAAACTAGAGCAGACAGAATCTGGAGCAGATGCCCATGGCAACCAATCAGCTTCTCTCTTAATTCTGTTCAGTTAAGCTTTGAAAATGAATGATAGAAGCTGCTTGGTTGCCATGGGCAAATTGCCCATGGCCCATATGTTTTAATTCATATCCTCTGAAGTTTCTGTGTTGGGTATCTTATGATAAAGAGAGCCTGCACCCGTGGTTAAAGGGTGTGTATAGGCAGTGTATGAAATCATTCAGAGCAGTGCTAGGGATTAATATGGCAGAGATGCATGTTTTGCTTTTTGGACCTCAAATGTATTTTTCCAAATCATTGCTTTGTTCATGAACTTGATAATTGTGATGTTAATCTTTTGAACTTGCATTATTATGGATTCATGGGGAGAGATGAGGGATGCTAAAAAATACATTGCAGTCTTTGCAGAGAATTGTAACTGAAAAGCAATGGTATTGTGGAAGTAAGAATGGGCTTTGAGTGCATGCATTCTGTTCATTTTGTGTTTGTGTAAAGTTATAGTCCCTCCAGCGCTGGTGCCAGTCTGTGATGCAGTGCCGTGGAAAGCAGAAATCACCAGCACTCAGTAAATATCTTTGATGTCCATTCAATCGGACCGCCCTGATGAAGGGATCCTGTACAGTCCCAAAACGTCGCTATTTTGTACATAACAATTGACGATTGGTCCGATTAAATGGACATCAAAGATATTTACGGAGTGCTGGTGATTTCTGCTTTCCACTGTTTGTTGCACGGTGCCATTCGTGATTGTCACTGCGAGCACCACTACAAGTACTTGGGCCGGGAGCGCTGTGAGGAGTGCAGAGGGACTTACTATTTTCTCTGATGCAGTGCAGACTTCTTTCTCTTCCTGTCCCACGGAATCTGTCCGGCATGCTTGCTCATGGCTGCGTGCATTGACTTACACAGTAGCTCTCCTCCTCTCCCCACTGCTGATCTCCACTGCGCATGCACGCATCCTCCTGAGAAGCTGGATTCTGCAGCTGCGAGCAAGCTTTTTTTAAAAATGTTTTTGCATATATCTACTGCTTGCTAGCAGTAGATATATGTAAAATATTGAGACTTAAATGTCACTTTAATAGTTATGAATTGCAGACATTCATATTCATTGATAAGGTTGTATTTTTAGCGCTAGAACTCTTTCAAATGTAAATACACTATAAATAGAATGGCCACCAATTAAACACCCCTGCCCCCCTTCCCAGCCTTCCGAAAAAAATAAATGTCACAGGACTGCATATATTAAATATGTGAAACCCTGCCAGAGAGAATAATGTTTGTGTGGTGGTACAAGGGCACACAGGAACTACCAATGTTCTGCTGGGTTGCATGTTCAGCCCACATAGATTACATGTTGACACAGCTCTGAGCGCTTATCTATACAGTAATATACCCTTTTGATGTTCTAGGCACCTTGCTGTCGCCATGACCTCTAAACCTGGATTGGTCAGAACTCATTTAGTGCATCAAATGTTCATGAGCTGTCACTTATGTTCAGGCTTCTCAGAAGGTTTGAAGGTTTCCATACAAAACAGCCATTTGTTTCACAAGTGTATCAAACATAGACTATCAAGATCACACAGCAAAGGGAGCAACCCTTTTTTAAACCAGTGCTCAATCATTTTAAAAATAGGCACTCAGCTCCAAACACTACAGATCCCTTGCAGATGTTCTTTTACAAGTTTTCAAAAAGCTAGTTGTCAGCTTTTAAGTATGGGCTCCTATGTGATACAGGAATAGGGAGGGGACAGTAGCATGTGTCTGCAAAATCTGAAGTACAATTAGCTAGCCATTGCCATCATGATTTTGATTTGTTCAACAAATACCATACCATAACCATGCAATATCATGTCCGTTCTATTGGATTTAGAGGAAACCTGTCCCAATAGAAGATTGCAGGCTGCCATTGCGGACCTGCCCTGACATTTTGGTTGCTTAATGTCAGATTCAATATTTTTGAGCCCCTGAGCTAACATGCTTGAGGCAGGTCAGTGGCTGTCAAGAATTAAAGCTGACAGTTCCATTGCATTTTCATTGCAGGTTCTCTTAGATTGTTGTTTAAAATTTTGCTCCAGGCAAAAAAGTAAATATATATATAGATAGATAGATAGATAGATAGATAGATATATATAATTCTTGAGGAAAACACCAATTAATGCAATTATGTTTTCATTATATCTGCCTCGAGTTAAGCTGTGTGGTGTGCCTGGTGCCGCACAGTCTTGCATCAAAATCATTCTTGTCTTGCCTTGTGCCCCGTTAGCCTGCATTGACAAATTCTGTTGGTTAATTTGTGGGAGGTGTGGCCCCGGACCGGATGACACTTAAATGACTAACAGTCATTTGGTGTCACCCCCTCTGAAAAGTTGACCATTTGGTCATGGACTGAGAGCCCAATATCTGAGAGAGGAGGGTAGCTAGATCATACCTTATCCTACTGGATGAAGTCCCCTCCTCTCTTTGGTGGCATCCACCACCAAGATGGCCACCCACAGTAAAGTGCACATGACATCATTACGCACGTGTGTAATGAAGTCACGTGCATACGTAATAACGTGCACATCGGGAGACACTCAGCCTGGTGATGGCGACGTTGAAAAGTAATCTGAAGCTGGCAAACTTGTTAACCGGCCTTCCATTAAAGGCATTGCATTGTGGACCAAGGATGTTCCAAGGGTGCAGATCATGACTGTGAGGGTTTTAATGCAAAGCTGTGTAGTGCCATGCAAGCAGTGAAGATGTGCATGCAGCTGTGGTGTAGATAATTATAACCTATTGCAAAAATGCTAAGCACGTTAAGGAGGGAAGGGGGTAGCCAATGCAAGTTTTTCTGAACCAAATATTTTTGTCCCAAGTATTAAGGCAGTAATTAACCAAATGCGTTGCTAATGCATACTGTGATAGCAATAGTGTTGTCATTTCCTTTGAATTTAATAATTTGCTTTGTGCATAAGTAATGGCAACCTTTTTGTTTAATATTATATTGAGTTCTTTCTAAATCTAAGGGGTTGCAAACAACAACAAAAATCTTGTCCCCTAGCTTCCTCTGAAATTGTAAAAGTATAGGGAGATGAAACACACCACAAAACACTGCCTCAGGCCATCTGAGTCCACCAAGAAGTGGAAAAAAAACCACATTCCAATATGTTCAGTCTTTTCATGAGGTATCAGTAACCTGCAATAATCCTTTGGCTTCTTTTTGTCTTCTTGCAGTTTTATTTTCTTTTCCTCCTTATAGAATAATTGCATTAGGCAGGGAAAAGTGACTGGAAAGAATGGCAGAATTGAAATAGGCAGCAGATGATAAGTTGTTAACTGCGAGGAAGAAACCCATCTTTTACTAAAGACCGGTAAGAGCCAGCTGCAGGGAGACTGTGTGTCAAATGAATTACTCTGAAGGCAAGATGTATCGCTGTGAGAAAGGACACAACTCACGGATAGACTTGTGAATCTGTCTTTCCAATTTTCTGCTCTAGTTTTGGAGTTCACTGCTTCCCCAGGCTGTGGTACTTATTAGCAAGGAAAATATGTTCTCCTGAAATATAACTGGGGGAAAGAGAGCAGGAAGGAAGCATTGTCATCACTCTATGAAAGGGTCAGCTAGTTGTGGCACTGACATACAGGCAAATACACATTTATTACCTGTCATGTCTAATGCTGAGGTGTAATTGTTCCCATGATACTAGTAGACATATACAGGCATCCATGATATTGCTGGACGACTTTCTTCCCTGAACATAAAGATATTTGGACGTAATGTGATATATTTGACATGTTTAACACTATATGTTTGTTTTCAGTATTTAACAATAAAGAAGAGCAGGACCTCTGTCCTGTTGTCTTATTGCTTGGTGGACTGAAATACATTGGTTTTTTTTGTATGACCGTCACAATATCAGATTTCATTAGTAGGTGCTGCTGCAAGTGAAAGACTGTGATTGCACTTGTCTTTACTGATAAAATCCAAACATGTTATTTTGTAGATGTGTCCCAAATAAACAGGATTTATGTTATTTCCTTTCAGAAGTGCTATACCTGTGCTGCATTTTCTTTACCAGAGTTCAGCATGTGACATTTTCTAAAAGAGTTTAAGTTCGGTTTCACTACCCCACTCCCTGAAGGTGATCAAAGGTATCAGAATCAAAATAAACCTGTGCTGAGAAAAATATAAAGGCTGCCATTGATGACTTCTCCTTTTGAAAATGCTAATTCCCTGGCTCTCAGCTTTTTCAACAGAAGTCAGCAATAGCAGCTTTGTTTCTCTCATTACAGTTAACTTTACAGCAGAATCCATAACCCTACCAAGTTCTCTGATCAGGTGATTGGTAGCGAATGGGAGGTTTTGAGTTTAGATCGGTGGATGCTTCCCTTTTGCAGAGCAATGTTTTCGAAAGTGAATGTTATGTTACTTTGGGTGTACTAGCCTTTTATTGATTTCAAGGAGTGGAGCAGGCAGGGTATCAATGTCATATTAGTTTGAAGGTTTTCTTTTACATTTTTGCATAGATTATATCGTCTGTTCACTT